AGAGAGAGAGAGAGAGAGAGAGAGAGAGAGAGAGAGAGAGAGAGAGAGAGAGAGAGAGAGAGGGTGTAAAAGAGAACGAGAGGGAGAGCGTATTGGTGGCAATTTGGAATCTTGTCCGGAGAAGGCTTGCCGGAATGTTCACCTAGTTAATTAATGAGGTGTCGTGGTTGGGATCTGTATCATCGACAACTGTAAACAAGCGGAGTCGAGCTGCCCCTGGGCCACCGGAATTGGACTGTCTATGTAGGCAGGCCTCTTGTACGCTAAATTGTGGGAGGCCCGTTGAGCTGCAGGTTAACTATGTGGTGGTGATGTGGTAAGTAAGAGGAAGCGGCCCAGGATCGAGGGATGTAAAGTTCGGGTCATGTGGGGATTAAGCTCGACCTCCAAAGGAGGGAAAGCTTAAGGGAGTTTGAGATATTACTTACAGGGTGGAAAGAAAGGCAGGTGGGTTGGTCCTAGTTCGTACTCTAATCTGATGGTGAAGATTCCGACTTGGTTCACCAACCCCATGGTGCTTATTGAATCCCTTCATCGAATTGGTTACCCACAAAACCCCTCAGGGAGGAGAGTATAGTAGCCGTGCTGGGTGGGGGGTCGCCCGTCACACTAATATCACTCCAGTTTCTCAACGGATTTTGAGTTAAGAGTTCCGGAACCTGATGTCCAGTGTGGGATAGAAGCTCACTTTAATGTAGAGAGAACTCAAGTTCATTTCATTAACAACATCAACGGAATGCTAGGGCTGGTAATCCAACAAAACCAAGACGGGTGCAGGGGACGAAGAGAAACGGAAACGGAAGCACTACGCGAGAGGAAGTCGGGGAAAGGGAAACAAGAGGGTACAGGCAGCACGGGAGGTGGGGACCAGTTGTCGGCATAATTTGAGAAGACCGTTGAGACCAGAGGATCTGCAGAAAATCCCAGAAATGGCTAATCAGGGGAACGATGTAACCCCCACGTCTGTAGAGGACCTCAATAGAGTGAGAGAGTCCGTGGAACGTTGCTACGATGAGGGGGTTTGCCCGGACGATGCCTACCTGGGCGAAGTAGTAGAAGATAGAGAAGGGAAACGATTCGAGGTGAACAAAATGGTGGATGAGGTGAAGGAACAGTGGTTAAGAGAGAGGTCGGTAGTTGTAACATTCCAAGGAGAAGCCAGAAACCTGCAGCGTTCAGTCAAGGAGGACTTAATTCGGGCCTACGAAGACGGGTGGACCGCGAAGAAACTGTTTCAACCAGGACTACGCAGAGGGCGTGTCAAATTTGAAGGGGCCAATGTTGCCTCGTATGTGGCGAAGGCGAAGGAGATCGCAGACTGGCTCGTACAACAAAAAGAAATGAGTATCAAGCTGGCTAACAAGGTGTACTCAGTTTCATTTAAGCCAAGACTGTCCAGACAAGAACTCCAAGATGCCCGGATTCAGGAGGCGGAGTCTAAATTTTGGATTATGGCATTAAGAGTTCCTCTTGACGCTTACTACTTTCTGAGGAGCGCGGTAAGAGGAATGTTTGGGGAAGTCATCGAGATGCACTCACCAGAGTAAGACAAAGATAGGCCAAAACTAATGAATGTTAAGTTCGATATGCCTCCCGAAGCCTGGTCCAAGATAGACGATGAGCTAATCATTCAGTCTCCGAATGGCACGTGCTGGAAAGTAGAGATCGTGACACCTTACACGGACTAGTGCAGGGTGTGCAGATGGTACTTCCATATAGAGGAGAGGTGCCCAAGACTCAGACAGAACGAAGACGGGCGAGGGAACAAAGGGGAGAAACAAGGTGGGCACCGTGTCCGATTCAAGGAGCATTTGCAGAATCAGAAACGTTCCACAACGGGGGACTCAGACAACAGACGAGCAGACATCCCTGTGCAACGTCCAACTGGACAGCTCTCTCAAGGTCAAGTGGCATCCCGCACCTCTGGACAAACTCCACAGGCGCAGATTCCCAGGGAGGAAGCTGTACACAAAGGTCACCCGATGCACCAGGAGACTAGATCAACCAATGGCCAGACAGCACAGAGAGGTGATCTGATGTACCCCGGCCTCACGCAGCAGCAACAGCAGCCTACCAATCAAGCGATGGGCCTCGGGACCCCTTTGGTTCAGGGGGTGGATCAAACACACGGCTATCAGCTGTGGGCACAGGGAGGGTTACCAGGCGCAGGGGTACCGCCTTTACCTCCCTGGAACGCGAGAGGGACCTGGCAAGGAGAAGGAAGCGGCTATGACCGGGCATACAGCGCCCAGATGGTGGACGCGGTCCCAGACCCTTAGGGCCTCTCAGCTATCAGGAACTGGCAAGAACACCATTGGTACCATCGAGAAGCATAGGTCAGTGGGGCTGTCCAGTCGCAGAGATTCATGCAGCAGCAACTAGGACAGCAGGAACAGGGACAGGCGGGACTCAGAGGACAAGACGATCAGTGCAGACAGCTCGGACAGGTGGAACACCCGATCCCAGGCTATCCTTCAGCAAACTATGACTGGAGGAGGCTGACTCACACGGCGCAGGGAAGAGGCAACACATCCCTGGACTTCTCTAGATAGGACGCCAGGGGAAGGGCGAATAGACGAAGAACGAGACCCAGTGGTTTAAGGTGGGACGCATGGAAAGAGGACCCTCAAAGATCGAGGGTTGCTTCCACACAGCCATGGCGGCAGGAACCTCAGTTCCACAACCCGAGATGGAGAGAAGAGGATGAGGGTGCGCTGGGAGGAGCCTCCTGCAATCCTCCGGCTCGGGCAGAGACAATCCAAGAAGAGCTCTCAAAAACCTCCGTCACGTCCCGTTCGAAAGTCAGATGGGGCAGTGAGTGCTGTGAGGAGGGGTATGGCTCATCTCAGCACGATGATGACGCGTCCTCCTTGAAGAGTTCAGCAGCGTCAGGGCAGGACCGTCGGGGCAGACACGAAGAGGGAAACAGGCGTACGCTAAACAAAGATCAGAGAGCAGAGACTTTTGCAAGGAACAAAATGGAGTCGGTGCAAAGGTGTTTAGTCCCATTGTTGTGCACAAGCTCAGCGCAGGGCATCTGCTTCTTGGCGATTGCAAACGAAGCAGAAGTATCTGTTATTCCCTCGACGACAATAGACAGGTCTCCTACACCGGCGATGATCTTGGAGGTAACGAAAAAGTTATCCGGTGCGCATGTCCCGACAAGGCTCATTCCACACACCGAGATGACAAACGTAATAGTGGAACAACAGAAAAATTTCCCAGAATTAAATAATCATTCTAGAGTGAAATTACATTTTAAATTCTAAATTTTAATTCCTTCTTAAAAAATATCATTCCAATTTTAAAAATTTTCGTCTTACTTGAAAACTTTCCTTCCAAGAATGAGGTATCCCTTCTTATTTGAATTGCATGCTAGAGATGGAATAGAAGTCTGGATGAGTTCATGAAATATTTTAATTGGACTTGCATTTTAAGTAAGGATTTCCAGTCATAAATAGGTTAATCCAATCTAAATTAGATGATATTTGTTGTAGTAGAATGAAAGTTTAATTAAAACATTTCATAAAATGGTCCAGACTTTCATTCCATCTTGAACAAATAGATGTATTTGGAAGGGAAAGCTCATATTTAGACCGAAACTTATCAAATTAAATTGAAAATTTTGGAATTTGACAAACATTTGAATGATAATTTATAAATATGAAGAATTTTTTTTTTATGGAATGTTTTTCCAACTTTCATTTCTCATGGGAATTTTCTGTTGAAACTGTCAAGGGTTATACGAAGATATATTTCCCTCTGTTGGATGCAAGAATTCCCCTAGAGGCGACGAGCCTGCTGTCTCAGTCCGGAATCAGGTGGTGCCATATGGATCTGGTTAGGGAACGTAACCAGCAGAAACTGGACCACATCAAGGTCATACCAGGGATTTCTGCCCTGATCTTGTTGAACATTAACGAGAAGCTGTCGCCAGAGGAGAACTTGCACTCTAGTTTCTTGGCAGACAAATTGACTGAAGAGTGGAGGTCGTCTTCCAAGGTTAGTTCAGCAAGAAGCAGGTCTCAGCGTAGATCAGGTGACTCCGCCGACAGGGGCACGATGTCACAGTCACAGTCCAATCAACAAGCACACAGCAGCAGCAACCGCATCCAACAACAGGCGGTCACGAACTCGGTTGATGGATAAGATTCGGGCAGTCACCTCGAACATCCGCGGTCTGGGGGATACCAATGGGAGGTCCAAGAGGCGCCGTCTGAAGAGATGGTTCCACAAGAAAAGGATTAATTGTGTATTTTTGCAGGAAACTAAACTTAACGAGGAAAAGCTCAAAGAGTTCGTTCTCTGGTGGGAGGGGCCACAAATATGGGCCCATGCGCAAGGCAGTCGAGGGGGTGTAGGGATCTTACTTCATCGAGATCTCAAAGCGCATGTGATCGACTCCGAAGCGGACCTGTGGGGTAGATGGGCATGGATGAAGGTAGTAATTGGGAACGAGGAATGGGCACTGATGACGGTGTACGCTCCAACAGCACCCGGGGAAAGAGCAAAATTTTTTTCCAAGTTCATGCAGCACGTCCCTCGGGTTGATAGACTGGTGATGGCCGGGGACTGGAATGTTTCATTGGATGAAGCCTTGAGGCCGGGGGCTCCGTCAGCAAACCGGAACGATGTCAGATCTCTTCTTGATTTTAGCGCAGAGCTAGCGTTGTCTGACCCCTTTCCAATCTTAAACCCCGGGGAGGCAGGCTACACATGATTCTCACACCTTAGTAGGGATAGACAGGTAATGACGAGGAGGCGGCTTGACTACTTTTTGGTGGTGGACCAGGTCCTGGACAGGGTCATTTCGGTCCGAGAGGTTAGTCAGACCCTGTCTGATCACAAACCGGTGGTGACGGACATCCGGCTGCACCTGGGAGTGGAGAGAGGCAGGGGCTTCTTCCGTCTTAATGGCCAACTTCTGCAGGTACCAGGGGTAAGTGAGTGGGTTTCAGACCACATGGCCAAATGGGAGGCGGCCAAGCCACACTTTGGCTCCACTGCAGAATGGCTAGATGGGGGTATTGCAATCACTTCCGGGATCCTCGACGCAGTATCCCGAATCTTGGCGAGAGAGAGAAACATAAAGGAGGCTGATTTCAAGAGGAGAGTGAAAGAGGCTGAGGAGCGAATGGAAGGCCACCCAATATCTGTTATGGTGTGGGCGGCAGAACGGGAGAAGAGACTAGAAGAATGGGACAACTTCCAGGTAGAGAAGCAAAGATGGTGGACCGAGCTGCTCCAAGATAAAGGTATCGAAACACACGACAAGATGACGAAGGAAACATTTCAGAAGCTGCTGCCTAGCAGGTCTCAACACCAGATGGTCGAACTGAAGCACCCATTCAATGAGTCCGCGCCGACAGCGTGCTCTTCAACAGGCATGCTGCAGTACGCAAGGTTGTACTATGAGGACGTGCTCTCTACAAGGCGCCCTCAGGATGATGTCGATTCTGATCTCTCAACGTCCTCAGACATGTGGGACAACACAGGGGTCCGTCTAAGCACAACAGCAAGATTGGACTTGGATCGGCCGCTCACGTTGGAAGAAGTCACACAGATGCTGAAAACAATGGCCAGGGGGAAGTCCCCAGGGGTGGACGGCCTCACAGTGGAGTTCTACATAACTAATTGGGGAGCTTTCGGGGAGTCACTAGTGAAACTCTACAACAAAGTGACGACGGGAGGCAAATTGGGGAAGGGGATGACACATGGTGTGATCTCAGTCCTTTTCAAGAAGGGAGACAAGGCTAGAGTGAGGAACTGACGTCCGATATCGCTGCTGAATGTCTCTTACAAAATCCTCGCAAAGTCCCTAGCACGAAGACTCTCGAAACACCTCCCAGACCTGGTGGAGAAGGACCAAGGAGCGTTTGTGCAGGGCAGGTCCATCTTCAACAACATCGTAACAGCGATCGAGGCGTTAGAGATCGTACAAAGTGAGAACCTAGAGATGGCAGTACTCCTACCGGATCTGGAGAAAGCGTATGACAAAGTTGGTTGGGCCTTCGTCCTCACAACGCTGAGAAGAATGGGGTTGGGAAGGAGTTTCTGCGCCTGGATCATTGCCATGTATACCTTCTCGACGTCAGCAGTGATGATCAACGGCCACATGTTTGCCCCTTTCGCCATCACAAGATCGCTCCGTCAAGGGTGCCCGTTGGCCCCGCTAGTCTTTGTCCTACAGCTAGAAGTGCTACTCAACAAGATCCGCAAAAACCAGGTGGTCAAAGGTCTGCGCTTACACAGCGGAGAAGAGTACAAAGTCAAGGCTCTCGCGGATGACTTGTTCGTGCTAAGTGAAAACTCGAAGGACTCGCTGTTAACACTGAAGAACATTCTGAGAGAGTACTCCTCCTTGTCCGAGGCCACAATTAATTGGAACAAATCTACTTACCTGTTGCTAGTAGACTTCATACTCGAAGTGGAATGGGGAATGAAGAGGGTGGAAAATGGAGAAAAGGAGAGATTTTGGGGGGTACTAATCAGCCTCCAAGTCGAAGTATCTACACAGGGTCTGCTGCTACAGCAAAGGATCTCGGCCAGACTGAGGGCGTGGGGTGTGGCCTAGCATCTATCAATCATCGGTAGGGCTCTGGTCACCAACGTAGCTCTATACTCCATTCTCTGGTTTGTGTCCTCAGTAAGAGAAATCTTTGTCGGAGTGCTGAAGGCTATCATGAGATTGGTGGCACGGTTCATCTGGAAGCCTAGGGCCAAACAGGACGACTCTTTCATATCTAAGGTAGCCCTTGACACGTTGTCGTTCCCACGAGCTGAAGGAGGCCTGGGTCTCATGGACTCAGCAAAAAGAAACCAGGCACAGCTTAGAGGATGGGTAGCTAAGGTGGCCATGATGGGCCCAAGCGAGCGCTGGGTGTTACTAGCAGAGCGCATACTAGCGAATGAATGGGATTTAGCCAGACCCAAGGACGCATGGGCCTGTTTGCTCATGTCATCTTTCAGAAAGAGGAAATTGAAATCATGTTTCTGGGAAGCAATCAGGAGAGCTTGGAACAAGGTGCCCCCGGATGTACAACAACCTCCCTCCACAAAGGAGGAAGTGCTGCTCCAACTGCTGTTCGATAACCCAGAGATCCGGAACCAGAATGGGGCCCCCTTCAGAGCAGATGGATCCGCGGGGACTTTTGGGCAGTCTTGGGTCAAGAAAGGAGTGGTTCGCATCGAGGACCTCTGGTCGACACTGACGGGAAGCTGGAAACCGCTGTCTGAGATAAAAATGGTGCTTAGAAGCCTGCAGCAAGTGGAGACCCAGTGGAAGAGCATCTTAGAAGCTATCCCTTGAGAGTGGCAGCTGCTGCTGGGACCGGAGGGGCTGGACCCCACAGGCACGTGGTACGTACCAAACTCAGACTCAAACAAAAACACTCTGTGGAAGGTCACTGAGATCCTTCCCAGCGGCTTTAGACGGGTGGAGAAATGGGTATGCGAAGACACGGCCAACGTACTGTCCAGGGCAGAAGAGGAGACAGTAAGGATGTGGGACAACCCTCCCCAGGCGAGGGTAGTGGAGACAAAATGCAGGGATCCTGCAGGACACTCCCTAACGTGGGTGGGGAGAGTCCCACTACGCCGTCTTTGCATCGACCCGTCAGCCTGGAGTTGGTCAGCCAGGGACACAGGTGGGTCGGAGGTCTTGCTGCAGAACTACACGGTAGCTCAGGGCTATCAGCAGTCGAAGGGCCAACTGAAGTCGCCAGCCCAGACAGCAATCCCTCGTTGGCAGGCTTTCTGGGGGGCTGACCTATCGGATGCGGCCCCGAAGTTTGAACGGCTGTGGAAAACGCTATGTACACTGCCTAATGGAAAACAGGTTGGCATTCTCTGGTTGCTCTCACTCATGGTAACTCCGTCAGCTGTTTGGCTGAGAGGCAAAGGAATGGAGGTAAGTCTTGGATGCACGAAATGCAGATGGCCTTTTGAGTCCACCAGACATCTCTGGTGGGAGTGTCCAGCATCTAAACGAGTGTGGCAATGGTGGAGCCTTCACTGGAAGGAGATCGGAGGGCAAGGGGTGGAGTGGAATGAAGAGTGGGTTCTGCTGGGCTTTCTCCCGACTCAGCTGTCAGGGAGCAGAGGATGGAGCTACGTAGCACACGTCGTAAGAGGTCTTATTTGTCAGGTCATATGGGCAAACCACAACAGATCCCGTTTCCAAAGGAAACCGTTCTCGGACAGGGAGATCAAGGGAGCTATCAAAAAGGGACTGAGGCAGGCTATCCGTGTGGACTGGAGAAGGAAGGCCAAGGTGGGTAGAGGAGGCTTGAGACAGATCCGGTGGTTTATGCGCACTTGGACAATAAACCATCGGTTGGCCACGATTAATTCAAACAAAGGCTTGGTGTTGTCCAAGTGGCTCGTGGAAGTGGACAGTACAATAGGAGAGTAGTCGTTGTAGATAGGTTACTGTAATAGTAGACACATGCATAATCAGGGCACTCGATTATTAGGGCCGCTGTAGGCCACTAGGGGAGTGCCTGGGTAGGGCCTGGACTTAGTCCTCTGGGCCGAAATAGTCCCAGACGTAGGTTATCTCCAGCTCACGAAATTATCGAAAGGAATGTACGGCAAGGGGAAGTAGGGGCAGACGCTCACACAGTGCTGTCCTCAGACAGGCTTACACTATCTCAGAACTGCGAATTGCTAGGCAAAGGGGAGTAGTTAAATAGGAACTGGGACTTGTTAGATTGTGGGTCCCGCAGGCAATTGCCTGTAAGCTAAGCTGGCTGATGCTGTCAGATATCCCGGGTCGAATTGTTTTTTTTTTTTTTTCCCAAAAAAAATTCACTTCAGGAGGCCGGGGACCTCACAATTCAACCCGGGTTTATCCCGGCAGCATCAGCCGGTTTCGCTTATAGACAATCTTTCAATCATGACTCAGACTTCAAAAATTCTACTTCTACCTTAAATCCTAACACAGCCACCGTAGTCCGCCCCAGTAGACTAACTATACCTAACCTACTCTAGACTCCCTATGTTCCACTAAAACCCCTCCCTACTATTACACAGGCCTACCAACCGGCCTGACCCCGGCCCAATAACGGCCGGGAGGAACATCCTTGTTCATAAAGAAAAAAAACATTCACATGACCGAAACTCCACACAATTCCAAAAAGTAACCGGGAACCTACGCCTAGCTAAACAAGGACTTGCTCACCCCAGCCACCTTGTGGTCTCCAGCCTAGCCTGTGGAGAGATCTTGGCCAGCCGACCTTCCAATGCCCAGGTTGAATTGTGAGGTCCCCGGCCTCTCTTTCACAATTGAATGAACTAAAGTGTTTGTAAACTCGAAAAACGAATTTGAGGGAAAAAAAAAAAACCTGAGGGAAGGCGATCGGCATATATACCGGTCGCACCTCCATATATACCCGGCGAGAGGAGCGACAAGTTCTGCGCACGCGCGTTTCGAGTGGCAGAAACGCAAGGCAGGCGCCCCTGTGCGCGCAGGTTTTTCTGCAAGGTAACCACGGAATGGCAACCCCCGCTGGTGCTGCGTTCGAATCACGCCGTAATTATGCACACCAACGGGGCTCCATGTCAAATTTCTAATGGGTCCGACGGGTTTTGGCGGCCGACTACCCGCCGGTATATATGTCTTCGCGGGAGGCCGCTCCTCTCCACGAAAACGCAGCACCACAGCGGAGCCTGCTCCGAATTCCGGCCGCCCAACGTCTGTTGTCCGCTGCAAGTGCTGCAGTGTCCGTTGGCGCGACGGGGGCCCCTTTTTCCTTGCACCTCCAAATTTGAAAACCAAATTTACGGCGGGCCACGTACACCCCTTTCCGCCGCTTGCAACCTCGGGGGAAGAGGCGGCAAAGTGGACACGTCCCGCCATCAGTACCGCCCATTGTTTCGAACTCTCGCTGCGAGCAACCGCGCGCGCGCGCGATATATATATATATATATATATACATACGTTTGTTGTCCTCACAGCCCCTCGTTTGTTGTCCTCTTCTCTCTCTCTGCCTACGGTTTATCGGGCAGTTCTGTTTGTGACGATATATACATACGTATATATATATACTCCCTCTCTGGCTACGGTTTACCGGGCAGCTCTGTTTGACTAGAGAGAGAGGGAGAGAGAGAGAGAGAGAGAGAGAGAGAGGGCGGTCGCCTGCACAGCAGCAGACCAGCTGCGCAGGGGAGGGTCATCGCAAGGAGAAGGCAAGCGGAAGTGATTACGGCGGATCGCAGGAGAGGTAAGGTTCTGTTCTTTCATGCCTACTGGGTAGTATTGCCTACTACTCAGCCTGTGTCTCAGGGCCTCGCCGCGCCACTCACTAAATGTGAAGCAGACGAAGACTATGGCGGGTGTATCTTTCTGCGTACGTGCTCGGGGAAAATGATAGATGCTACAGAACAGAGTCTGCAGTTGGTGAGTAGTGCGGCGAGCCTCTGACTCACCGCACATAGAGGATGTGATTGATGACATTGATCCTGTACTCTTCGTCGCTCGTGCACCGCGTCGACTGCTTGTTGATTGATTGATATCAATCCTGCACCCCTTTTTGATACGGTCCTTCGGGGGGAGTAGTGGTTTAAAGCAACGATACAGGCCCCTGCCCCCCGCCCCCCGCCCCCCCAAAAAAAGAAGCAAAAAAAAAAAACAGAACAAAATTAAAAAAAAAAAAAAAGACTGGTAAAACACAAAGGAATCCTTCCCTTCCTGCCTTGGTAGTGAAATAAAGATATGTTCCATGACTGTCCCTCGATGAGGAGAAGGCAGCCTTTGGTAGTGAAAGAAAGATATGCTCCTTCACTACCTACCTTGGCAGAACGCCAATTAAAAGTATCTGAGGTGTGAGAGAAACATATAATATATGGCTGTCCCCCGATGAGGAGACGGCAGCTTTAAAAAAAAAAAAAAAAAAAAAAAAAAATCCTTGATGATGGGTACATAAACCTACATGCGTGTCCTCCTTCCTTGTGTGTGTGAGCGTGTGTGAGTGTGTCTGTGCGAGTGTGTCTGTGCGAGTGTGTGTGTGTGAGTGTGTGTGTGTGTGTGAGTGTGTGTAAGTGTGTGTGTGAGTGTGTGGTTGAGTGTGTGTGAGTGTGTGTGAGTGTGTGTGAGTGTGTGTGAGTGTGTGTGAGTGTGTGTGTGAGTGTGTGTGAGTGTGTGTGTGAGTGTGTGTGAGAGCTGCTGGACCGGGTCCCTACTAACGGAACTCGTCCTGATCAGCGTAGTATCGGGATCCCGACACTCAGCATCTTTGTCGGCGTGTGTTCTAAGGACGGGTAGAGCTTGCTTTCTTGTTCTGTTTTTCCTTCTTTGCGTTGTTGTTTTGAATATAGTTGGAGACTCCCTCGCATTACAATATGTAAGTGATTAAAACAAAAAAAAAATGAAAAAAATAAAAAATGGTAAAAAAAAGGAATATAGTTGGAGACTCCCTCGCATTACAATATGTAAGCGATTAAAACAAAAACAAAAAACAAAAAACAAAAAAAGTAAAAAAAGGGAATATAGTTGGAGACTCCCTCGCATCACAATATGTAAGTGATTAAAACAGAAAAAGGTAAAAAAAAGTGAAAAAAGCTTTAAAAAAGTAAAAAAAAGTAAGTGTGTATGCAGCAGGATTTGACTTGGACAGCCATATATTTGTCTCTCACCTGACATATTTTTTAAACGGCGATCACATGGAATATATCGTTGTTTCAGTACCTACCTACCACTGCGGCACTCCTAAGGCTATACAGGGAACCCCCCTGCATGTACTGTGTTTTTTTTTTTTTTTTTTTTTTTTTTTTTTTTTTTTTTTGTGCATGTAGTGTTCCTGAAGTGACGTGTGTGCGGACTTACCACCGTAGTGTAACCGAAAAAATGGTGACGGTTTCAGAAATTGGGACATTGGGCGTCGCTCGATTAGACAACAGTCCAGATGCGTTTGGACGTTATCTGGACAATTTGCATTGGGACGACTGCAACATTTTGAATGTATCGGGTCCACAAAACGTCCAGCTGCGTGTAGAGTGTTGTGTAGTGCAGCGAGGCCCATTTTCGGAAATGCATCTTTTGCATCGAATGCTTCAATCCAAGTATTTGTTCCCCCAAAAATAAATAAATCAAACAACAAAAAGTATCTTTCCAATCAATGGAACCAAATCCCGAACGAGGACGATGGCGAGGAGAAACAGGACGACGACGGCGTTAAGAAAAAAAAGAAAAAGAAAAAAGAAAAAGAGGAGGACGACGACGACGATGGATGTGTGGAGGAGGAGGAGAGAAAAGATGAAACTCGAGGACGGTAATGCTCAATGCTCATAATGTTATTAAGAATCGAAACGGGAAAAAAAAAAAAAAAGACTTTGTCATCTTTCCTCGGCTCTCTCTCTTCTTCCTCCTCCTCCTTTTCCTCCTCCTCCTGCTCCTCCTCTTCCTCCTCCTCCTACTACTACTCTTCCTCCTCTTCCTCCTCCTCACCGTTATCACCATTCCTCCTCCTTCTCCTCCTCCTCCTTCTTTTCCTCCTCCTCCTCCTCCTAGTCTTCCTCCTCTTCCTCCTCTTCCTCCTCTTCCTCCTCACCGTTATCATCATTCCTATTTGATCAGTCCAGGAAAGGGGGGGGGGGGGTCGTCCGTATTTGATCAGTCCAGGAAAGGGTGACAGGAAAACATACAGTAACGTTCTTTGACTTTAATTGGCCTTTGTTTCCTATTTGCTTCTTCTTCTTCTTCTTCTTCTTCTTCTTTAAGTAAAAAATAAAAAATAAAATGTAGTTGTCAGTTTTAAGGTAGGTGGCTGAAAAGAGAATGCGCAGCTGCTCAACTGTACATGCGGAAAAGAAATGTAAATCTGTTGATGCGTGTACGAGAAGCAGTCTATGGCCACTGTTTTCACTATTCTTTTTATTTGTATTTGTATTTTTATTTTTATTTTTTAATTTTAATTTTATTTGTTTTAATTTTTATTTCTAGAGCAAACGCTAGACGCTACGCTGCGCGTCTGCAACTCGTGCCCAGCATATTAGTAAATTGAGAGAAGAAATATAGCTTAGTTAAAAAAAAAAGTAAAAAAGTGAAAAAGTAAAAAATAAAAAATAAAATGTAGTTGTCAGTTTTAAGGTACGTGGCTGAAAAGAGAATTCGCAGCTTCTCAGGGGCGTGGTCCCACTAGCAAAGAGGGTTGGATCGAATGCCTGAATCTGGACGAGTTTATGGAGATGTGCAGGAAATCGAGATTGAACTGCTTTCCTGCATCTCTGCATAAATCGCATCCAGATTCAGGAGCTCGATCCTATCCTTTTTGCTAGTGGGTCCTCGGCCCAGGTCAGGTGCTTGTTAACTCTGATCGGATAATTGAAAAGTAACCGTTCGAGAAAGACAATCTACTCGCTCGAATACTATGGGCCTCGCTCCACTACTACTCTCCAAATTTGACAAAATGAGAATGAATCTTCCCCTAGAACATGGAAAGATACACTGCCCTATTTCTTGTCTTTTCTGCATGTGGAGAGTAGTGGAGCTAGGCCCCTATGAAAGCGTTTGGCTTGTGTACCGATGGTCATCAGTGACAGCCCGAGAGACACTAACTCTTTTTTTTTTTTTTTTTTTTTTTGGGTCGGGGGGGGCGTGGGTGGACGGGGAGGAAGAGAGAGACTAACGTGGTGCCCCCCCCCCCCATGTTTAAGGTCGACTTTGGATAAATTGCAAAATAGTCCCTGCACCAACGGGCCTAGCTACGCTGATACCCTCAATGAACTGTTGAAATACAGCCCCAAGTTCGAATACTACGCCGCCTACCCTCTCGTGACTTTTTTTTTTTTTTTTTTTTTTTTTTT